CACACACACTCACTCTCACTCTCTCACACATACTCACACACACACACAGATTAAATGTGGCTGACAACAGTTTTCTCTCACATGACATCACATGCAGCGTTCAGCCATTAATCAGCCAATCACATGTTGCAGCAGGCTGCCACCAATCAACCAATCAGCTGCCAGATTGAAACCATATGATGAGACAGACTGAAGAACACTTTGTACGGTACGTTGTGTCTGCATGTGCTGATGTTAATAAAGATCACTGAATTTGAATGTGTCAAAGGTTTGATGTCACAGTTACAAACATTATGTGAATAAATGTTTTTTACACAATCTAAACAATTTGAACAAAAAACTGAATTTTTATCGAAAATCTATTTCCCTGTGTAGTTGCTCATGACGTCACGTTGTCTTTACTGTGACATTAACATGTCTTTAGCTGCATTTAAAGACCGACACACAACTGTGTGACTCCAACAGGAGGGTCGCTCTCAGTCCACCTATCCCAGGATTCATTGTGATGAACAATTTTCTGTAAGAGGAAAAGGCGCTGGCATGTGACAAAACCTCAGAAGCTTGAATATTCAATTCAAGTTTATTTGTATTGCACCAAATCCTAATATCCATGATCTGAAGACTCTTCACAGAGAAGGTGAAGAGCTTCAGATCTTCTTCATGTAGAGAAACCAACAGGTGAACCATGAGCAGCACTTTGAGTCTGTGGAGGAGAAACTCCTCATTGACAGAGAGAAACCTCAAGAACCAGACTCAGAGAGGAGACATCTGCCTCCACCGGGGGAGATGAGCATCAGGCTTCAACTCAACTGAACAACCAGCATGTTAAAAAAACATGGGGCATTGAAACTGCAGCTGTTGCTAGGCAACAGCAATAAAGGCAGGACGAGCTGGCAGATCGCATCCTCCAATGGAGACGTCTCTAAACGTCTCAGGACACAACTTCTGTCTTTTTGTCTTTGTCAGTTTAATGTTGACATGAACAAACAAAATACAACAAACTGATCTGAATCTTTTTTAATATGAAACAAGATATTTACATCAAATGTAACACAGACAGGTGAGAGACAGGTGAGAGACAGGTGAGAGACAGGTGAGAGACAGACAGGTCAGAGTCCCAGCAGAGTTCTGGCCTCTTGACTCTGAGCCTGAAGCGTCTCGCTGGCGTAACGCTGTAACAACTCCATCTTCTTCCTCCTGACCAGAGCCTCCTCCACCTGAGAAACAAGACAGGTCAGAGCAGTGAGACGGGTCCTATCAGAGACAGAGCTGTCTCACCTCTGTGTGTGGGCTTGTATTAGTACCTATGTGAGGACGTCTCTGCTCACAAGTGTAGATAAATGAACATGTGTGTGTCTCACCTCTCTCTGTGAGGGAACAGGTACGTGTGCGATGAAGGAGACTCCTCCCTCCTCTCCCTCCTGCTCCTCCCGGCTCTCGTCATCATCGGGCTGCACAGAAACACAAATCAAACGCTCACTGACTTCACTCTACTAACAAACTAACTAGCTAGCTGATGTATCGTTCAGGTGACTTCAAGTAACCACATGGTCAACATCAGTGATGTGTCAGCAGCTGATTGGCCGAGTGATGAGCAGTTAAAGGGACAGTTAACCTCTTCGTTATGGACGCTGTAGATGTTCTCCTCCTCTTCCTCTTCCAGATGTTTGTCTCCAGACAAACGAGATTCTTTCTCTGTTCTCCACTTCTGCACCGCCTCCAACACAGCTACACACACACACACACACACACACACAGTTGCAGGTGGATTATATAATCTACATAATAAACAGCATCATAAAATCCTCAACTGTAGAAATAACTCCCTGGATTATAAAATAATTTGACTGTTATATTTTGATCCAACCGGATTCATAAATATTATGACTAGGTTATGAAAAAAGTGAAAATAATAATAAATGTTCACCTTGTTTCTCGTACTGTGACTCCAGAGGAAGCAAAACTCCGTCATCTTCGTCTCTGTACCCATAATACTCTGCGTCCACTTCCTTCATTAGCTCCGCCCTTGTCTTCCTTAGTGCTGGAGCAGCTGGGAGTCACATGATCAGTGAGGACCAATAACTACAGAGAACAGTACATGTTCATATGAAGATATAACGTTTACGTACGCTCCTTCTCGAACAGCTCTCGGACTCCGGGCAGGTCTCTGGCGGCTCCAAAGTATTTATATCCTCTGTTTCCTGGAACCTCCTTCCCCTCATGATCCAACATCCTTGGACCGACACGCTGAAACGTCAGCTGAGCTTCATTTCATCATCGATTAATGTGCTGCTTATTCCCTTTCTTATGCTGCGATTCATGCCACAGGATCATTTGCATTTATTCAGATTCATCGCGTAAATTAACACAACCAGTGAGAACTTACCAAGTATTTTCTAACTTGAGCATTGGACACGATCGGCGTAAAATCTGTGTCGACAGCGTGAATGGAGCCACACGAGAGAAACGAATTTCATATCTATTGCGCCACTTGCGACGCCGACTTTGTGTGTAATCTCGACGTGTTCAGTGTGAACGCACCAGTAAAGATGATTACGTTTCTAAACACAGCTGTGGCTCAGGTCATAGAGAGGTGCAGGGTTGATGCTCCACCCTCGATGGTGAGACCAGTTATTTTTAACAATATCATCATTGTTGTCATTATTAATATGATTATTGTTTTATTTACCGCATAGTCGGGTCCTCCCAGCTCTTTGATCCGAACCTCCCAGTGTCCTTTCTCTCTCAGCAGCTTATTGATCTCATCGTTCAGATCCCGAATCTTGAACTCCCCCAGACCAGCTGCAGACAGACAGGTGAGAGACAGACAGGTTTGTCTCCATATAATGATCTTTTCATGGCCTCAGATGATGGACTTGTCTCTGTCCTCATCCTGTTGGATCTTAGTGCAGCGTTTGACACCATAGATCATAAGATCACAGAGACTAGAACAACATGAAGGGATCAGAGGAACTTCAGACTGGTTTCAATCATATTTATCAGATAGATTTCAATTTGTTAACGTCAACAATGTCTCTCTGCCCCCCCCATAATACATGGCAATAACTATGTCACTTTGTCCTCCCATAGTCTCTCTTGGTTTCTCTATATGAAGAAGATCTGAAGCTCTTCACCTTCTCTGTGAAGAGTCTGGAGATCATGGATGTTAGGATTTGGTGCTATACAAATAAAATTGAATTGACTGTCTGCCACACGATCAATTATAAACACCAGAGTCACCAGTATTCCATTAATAATCATCAGGATATAAAAAACACAGAAAGAGAAAGTTCTTTATTCATAATGTAGCTTTGAACTCACCGTTCTGAATCTGAGCCACTTTCTTAGAGATTTCACTGATGATCTGAAACACACACACATCAGTACTGCAGTGAGTAGTGGTACTGCTGAATTGCTGGAGTGTGTAGTGTTACTGGAGTGTGTAGTATTACTGTAGTATTACAGTAGTGTGTAGTATAGAGTGTTTGTACCTGTCGTCTCCATTTCTCAGCTTTGGGAAGTTCACTGCACTCTGATGCCAGAAAAGGTCTCCTCTCCTACAGAGAGACAGACAGGTCAGAGAAAGAGACAGACAAGTCCTAGAGTGAGAGACAGACAGGTCAGAGAAAGAGACA